AATAAAAACTACATCTTATTTACTTTTTTTGGTACAAGCATCACATTTATAAAAAAAATTGCTATTTTCAAAGCAATGGTGTGAGAATTTAAGTTTTATTAACCGTATAGGTTGTCCGATACAACCAGCAACTCATCTATCCGATACAACCCGAACAGCACGCAACGAAAAATCGACTGTCACTTGCGTATTAGTAAGCCTAACGAGATTTATAGCCTACTAATTAAAGGATAATAAATGTTGTTTCTAACCATAAACTAAAAACCTATTTATACTTTCAGACAATTAGATACAATAGCCAGAAGTTAACTTTGTTCACTCAAAACAGCGGTTCAAAACACAAAATTTATTGCTATTTGGCAACACCACTGCCGTCTGTCCTAATATTGTGTCATCCGTACTCCCATCCTTCAATCAACACGTCAATTGTCTCACAGGTGCTATCTCTAGCGGTAAATGCTTGAAATAACTCTTGTCCGATACTATCGCTTGTCCGATACTCCCCGACTTTTCTCTATTCCGTTGAAAAAAAGATTTGTGTAAAACAAAATTTTTAACTATAGAATTAAATATTTTGATAAAGGAACAAAAAATAGATTTAAATAAAATCATCGGAAACGTGTGTAATTGTCAATTGCAGGATCAATCTGTCATATTGGAGAACTTATTATTATTATGTTTCTGAGAAGCAATAATCATTCTATCCTTTTTCTCTCGGTATGTCAACATGTATTACGTAATTCAAGAAGAGAAATCGGACAAGGCGGAGAAAGTTACTAAGCCCTTTGCTTAACAAAGACATCACGGCCTTCAGAGAAAACGTACGTACTGCGAGAGCGATGCAACCGATGGCACACATTGTTGCACGTGATATACTAAGTCATTGATCCTCTTTCTTTTCTTCTCTCCAATTTCCTCTTTCTTTCTTATTGATGAAACCTTCTTTCCACTTTCCAGTTTGATGTCGCCGAATAATGATCTCTTTCAATTTATTCACATACTCTAATCTGTTATCAAAATCTAGTCTGTACATGGATATCTCAGAATCCGCTCAAAAAGCGCTCAAAGTTATTGAATTTTATTTCACAAAATTATAAAATTTGTAATATTGAGACTTAGGCGATCCTAAACTAGAATCAAACTCCAAAAATGTTGCTGTTTTACCGATGATTTGTGAATATGTATGCGTGCGATATTGAAGTAGTAGTGTGTAGTGACGTGTTTATGTTTATTACAATATCGATATCGCACGCACTTATCGTAACAAATTTTCAAGAACATACATCTTTTTCATTAAGCCTAATTTTATGAACTCAGCATTGTTTGCACATGTAATTCGTAGTTCCGGCTGATATCACACCAACAAACTGCAAATTTTTGTACGAAGCAAATATTAGCACACGTTGACAGCTCTAAACATCATATTAGACTAAGAAAAGATAATCCTGGTGAAGTTAACCCCCCAACATTAAAAAAATTAAATTTCTTTAGCTCATTCGATTGCTCATCGTTTTCACATCTATGCACATTTTCATTTTTCGGTTGCACATCCTTAGTTTAAAAGTTATTAAAAAAACCATTTTGGGGAGGCCAACTTCACGATAGTCCTCCAACTACAAACGAATTAATTTCAAATAAGCTCAATCGATAGATTTTCGTTTGCACATTCCGAAACACATCGATTTTTCGTTTGCACCCTCTTAGTTCAAAAATTATTTAAAAAACAATTTTGGAGAAGCCAACTTTACGATAGCCTATTTACGAGCAAATTAATGTCATATTAATAGTTTAATCAATAGATTTTTGTTTGCACTTTTCGAAACAGACCGATTTTTCGTTTGCACATCCTTAGTTATTAATATTAAAAATTTATTAACAATTAAAGTTTCAAAAATAGTAGATTTCGGTAAATAAGTTCAAAACACAGTTACTACGTTTAAAATTGCATTAATCAATAGGTTTTTGTTTACACATTCTGAAATAAATTGATTTTTCATATGTACATTCTCAGTTCAAAAGTTTTTATTAATAAAACATTTTTGGAGGGAGGCCAACTTCACGATAGCTTAATTACGAGCAAATTAGATTGAAATAGGCTTAATCGATAGGTTTTCTTTACGAAAAAACACTTTTACACTTTTTTTTACACTTTTCGAAACAGACCGATTTTTCGTTTGCACATCTTTAGTTAAAAAGTTATTAACAATTATAAGATTTCAAAAATAAATGATTTCGGTAAATATAAGTTCAAAACACAGTTATTACGTTTAAAATGGTTAAATAGGTTTTCATTTGCACTTTTCGAAACAGACCGATTTTTCGTTTGCACGTCCTTAGTTAAAAAGTTAACAATTAAAATTTCAAAAATAGATGATTTCGATAAATAAGTTCAAAATACGGTTACTATACCGGGTACATATATTTAATACTTATCGAAATCATCTATTTTTGAAATTTTAATTGTTAATAACTTTTTAACTAAGAGCGTGCAAACGGAAAATTGGTTTCGAAAAGTTTAATTCCATACAGCACAAAAAATTGCTGATATATTGCAGAATAGTTTCATTGAAATATTGTAATATTGCAAATTTGTTGCAAAACATTGCTGTATCATTGTTGTATAATTGCGGTAACATAATGGCTTTCGTAATATTACAACGAAATGTTATAGCAACATTACAATGTAATATGAAAGAATGCAACGCTACCTTAATTAGAATATTGTTTTTATGCTTCCGAGGTATTCATCTTTTAAAATTTTTGTTTCTGATAGATAGATATTTCTAAAATGTATATTAAAAACAAAAATAGTTTTTAATAGATGGATAGACTTTGAAATACAAATTAATTTAATGTATCTAATTATCTTTTTCTACAAATTGCATTTCTACTCATGACTGTGCTTTAATTTCAAAAGCAATTCTTAATATATAATATATATATATGTATATATAAAATATTTCAACAAATATCTTTCTAACTTATATTGTTTCTGTGTACAAAAAATACTTGTTTATTTATTTAACAAACAAAAATTTTACGTTAATTATTCTTAAAAATGGTTTTACATTACACAAAAATAAAAAAAAATTATTACAATATTATTATTATTAATTATGGGCTATTCCACGTGAAGCGGATCAATCATCTTTCAGAAATTTATTTAATTTTGCACATAGATAGTATTCTGGGAGATAGAATTTCGTGCCAAAAACTTCTTTTATTGCATAATTAATCGAGATATAAACAATTAAAAATTATATTACTTTATTTTGCAAAAATTCATAATTCTGTTACTGATAATGCTAACTTTTTTTTTAAATACGCTAAAAATGTTATAGTTTATTGGAAAAAAATGAAGATTCCAAAAAGGTTTTGTTTTCCATTGTTTATTTAACAATAAACTTTTTAACAAATTTTTTAACAATCGGGGAGAGTCGAAAAATCTGAAAAAATATTTTTCATATACTTTCAGTTTTCTTAGAAAAAAAACTTAAGAACATATCCCTCGTTTTCGAAAAAAAATTTTTTCAGTTCTCGATGTGGGGAAAATCTTTCGACTCTCAGCGTGCAACTCGTACAAAACAACCAAACTTACAAAATACCTCCACCATACTGCTGGTATGTTGTTAGCGGCCGCTGTTTCATATTGACTGGAAAGTCAATATTTTATAAAATCGACTTTTACAATATTTAGGTTTCTAAACAATTTTATTATTTATTTACGATTTTGTGCACACGCACACGCGCACACGCACACGCACACGACACGCACACGCACACGCGCACGCGCACACGC